TACAACTGGCAGTTAAAGGGAAGAAAGCAGCGTTCAAGGAATGGCTTGGAAACAAAGAGCCTTCTACAAGCGTGCGATATGTTGAGGCACGTAAGGCGGTGGCGAAAGCAGTGGCGAAAGTCAAAACTGATTCATGGGAGAATGTCGGCGAGGTGCTGGAGTCGAATTCCCAGCAGGTAAACCAGGTATTCTGGCAGACCATTGCCGGCTCTGAGGTGAAAAGAAGGACAGTGTAAGAGTCGTAAAGAATAACTGTAGACAGTTTCTTACTTAGGATAAGGACATTTTTCTGCGATGGAGGGAGTACTTTGAGAAACTTCTTAATCCCGCAGAAGGACTCGCCTGTAGAGCAGCAGGGAACGGAGATTACTATTACTGTGGATGAAATTACACAAGCTGTGAAAAGATTGAAAAAATCTTGAAGAAAGAAAATGGAAATGCTGTTGAAACTGATAAAATCCGCCTTGAAATGCTCAAGGCATCAAGCGAACTAGGTATGTGCTGGCTTACGCGTGTCTGTCAAACTGCAATGACTGCAGGAAAGACACCAGCGGACTGGAGAACGGCAGCGTTATTGTACCGCTACTTCAAGGGAGACCGCAAGGAGTGGTCCAATTATAGGGGCATTACGTTGTTGAGCCTCCCAGGTAAAGTCTACGCAAAGGTGCTAGAAAGGAGGTGCCTCGGAATAACTGACTCCAAGACACAAGAAATGCAGTGTGGCATCTGGCCCGGTCTAAGCACTTCTGACCATATATTTGCCCTGCGCCAGATTGTTGAGAAACCGTGGCAGGACGCCCGCCCAGTGTACATGTGTTATATTGACCTAGAAAAAGCGTATGTCCGGATCCCGCGCAAAAGTTTGTGGTCATGCATGCAAGCATACGGGATAGATGGCCAGCTGATAAGGGCAATAAATTCAGACCTTTTTACGTTGGCACTGGTCTCCGCCAAGGCTAAGTCCTGCCCGTATTCGCCTACCCTAGAATATTTTCACACAATGTCGAACAAAGTAGTAAGCAAAGGCTGATTTAAGATCATTACAACAATATGGAAGAAAGCAGATAATTTCACGTCGAGCCTTATTAAATGAAATTGACAGATCATGTGCTGAACTTCTAACGATGTTTAAGCTAAAAGTAAATCCCAGTGTCGTAGGCTTAACAATTTCGTGTCACTTTCTGAGTTCGCAGGGCGTAATCACACCGCCGCTTCGCTTCTAGTAGGCAAGTATGTCACAAGAATATAGTATCTGCATGCACTAACGCAAAACAGCACCATTCTGTTCGGTCGAAGACCAACGGATATACTTCGATCAGTAGGCGCAGATTAAAATTAACCCCGGTATTATGGAGTTTCTTAAACTGCTAGATTTCAATATCGTCCACAAGAAATTTTTCCTTATATACGCCTAAGGCTCGAGGTATATCTGTTGGTATTAAAACAGATAGAAATGTTACCACTACCGAAGTAGTGAATGTTGCGCAATATTAATTTGAAGCATAATTTCTAACAGTTAACATCATAAATTGGGGCTACTCTGCTGATTATGTTGGGTTAATCTAAGATGACGATGAAAAAAAAACAACAGCGATATCTGTTGGTGTTCGAACATGCCTTGGTTAAATTCAGCAAAGTAGTGTAGATTTGCACCTGTGCACTGCAGGCATTGAAATGCAATTGAGCTGTGGCCAGTTTAAACGGTCCCCCAGGCTATTAGAAGCAACGGAGCGGTGCAAACATGCCCTACGATTCTAGAACAGTCAAAGGAGAATGTTTTAAACTATTCAAAACTATAAATAAATATTCGTCCCTTGTGAAATTACAGGGCATATATATACCCCATTATATAAATATTCTTCAACGTTTCGAATCATGTAGGATTGGTCTTCAGGGAGAGACGTAATGTATAACAGATATCATTCCGTACTTGATTTGTCGAATTTCGAACTGAATTTCAGCACAAAACACTCAACTTATATTTAATAAAGGAATGAATAAAAATTGTCCTTAAAATGTGATGTTTTCAGAAAAGACACGCAAATGGTCAGTAAGGACTGAGCTTCTTTCGTTTAATCGAAGACTCTCAAACATGTAAAGTTCGAAAGAATACTTACACTAAATTGGCTGAAGAGCCATTTGATGAAGCCGGCACACTGCTACTGCCGAATGTTGATTTTAACACCTCAATGTTGCTGCTACTCCCTCTGTCTGAGACATTAGCTACCGTTGATGATGTCGACGACAGGAATGCACTGTGCTCATCGAATAAACCAGAAGACGTAAACTCCCTGTTGGGCGTTTGCTGACTTCTTGTTAACAACTTCGGCGATACACCGGGAGGTGGCGGAAGAAGCGGGATTTCTGTGTTAGCGCCAGAACGACGAGGCCGCGGTCGGGAGACAGTAGATTTATTCTAAATAAAACTGCCCCTAGTAACTCTCAATTCGCGAAACAGCATTACCCCTATGTTTAAAGTGATCGTCTGTCCGTCTTTGAAACTAAGATCCAATTTTGGTTTCGTCTCATCTAAAGCCATTTCTCGGCTGAGCTGCTCATCTTTCGCTAACGACCTGAAACTCTGTAGATTTCATTAAAAACAATCAGGCAATCCAATGATTACTTAAAATGGTCCTGCAACGCGACGTTTAGATCGAACGAATCGCTACGATCGGCAAAGCCAATGCCAACGAACGCATTACGGCCTGAAAAAAATGTTAACAAAATTAAAAATTTCAGCAATGCGTTTAACACCAACCTAACAGAGGCAAGGTAAGGCAAAAGTAACCTTTCAGCGCAATAAATGGACAGGTTTTCAAAAACACTCGACGGTAGAGCTATCCTCCTACTTAACTCTCTCTGGATAGTTTCATCGCTAGAGAATTAAGCTGAGACACTTAAACTAGTCAATCTCCTACGTGGCTTCACTCCATGTTCCACTTGTAGATCAGCTGCGCATTCCTCACAACCTTTGACTTCCAAACGCTAAGGAAGAGACAAACTTTCGCAGAGCCTTCAGGTGACGGAGCCCGTTTCCCGTACTACCCACCAGGACAATATCATCTGAGTAATTGAGGTCAGTAAGATATCCGTCTGGCTTTTACATATATTGTTCATCGTCTTTAAAGCGTCAGCGCTCCTAAAGAGAAGAAAGTGGATAACAGTGCTGAATGGCAAAGGCGAAAGTGTATCTGGGCTAACTCCACCGTTAACAGAGAATCATTCAGATATCTCAACCTACCGAAGAGATGACTTCGGCATAAAACTCTTCCTAAATGGAAACGACATGCGCAGACATTCCCCAGCATTTCAAAATTTTGCACATCGTCGTACGATGAAATGTAATACCATGATAATTGGAATACTGGGTCACTCAACCCCTTTTTAAATGTAGGGGCAATTACTCGACGTTTCCATTTTCGAGGGAAGCGTTTGTAGGTCCACATTTAATGAAACAGAACATGGAGATCTACTATTCTCTGTTCTTCCCTACTTAATTATCTCTGAAGAATTTCGATCCACCACGCAGACTTCTTTTCCTTGAGTAACAAGGCATTTTCGATTTTTAGTTTAGTGGGTGGGTCTTTAGCGCCGACAGAGAGTTAACAGTGGGAAATGACGAATCTGGTGGGTAACCATTGGGCAGCTGCTGAAAACGTTCAGCCTATCTTTTCAAACGTTCGTTCTGGCCTGCTAGTGGGACACCGTAGTGTCTTTGATAAGGCGAAACCGAATCCCCTGCCGCCCGGACAACTATTGCATCCTTTGAATACTGTTCCCCACTCATCCTCTCTGGCTGCCTTGTTGATCTTCCTGACTTTCTCCGCCATCCAAAAGTTCTGTCCCGGCTGTAGCTCTGATTGACTGCAAATGAGCTGCCTTCTAGAATGCCGTAAGGTGTTGCAGCACTCTTTCACTGCCGACTCATTCCTTGTCAGTCAAAGGATAGAGTCTTCTCCGTATCCCATGACAGTTTGGTAATTTTCTTACTGACCCAAAGGACGTTTCTCGCCGAGAAAATGAAAGCTCCTCTGAAGTCTTCGTGAGCTTCATCGACGTCGCCACTTCCCGACTGGGCACTAATGGTGATATTAAAATAAATGTCACCGCTTTTGGTTGGTGGAGGCCTAGCTACGTCATATTTTATGGCATTAGCACTGAGTAATTGATGTATTGAAGCCAGAAGACGCTGATACGATAAGTTAATTTTAGACAAATTTCACTACGACCATATGGTGATCAGATCCAATGCAGGAGCAACGGTTGACATGAGTTTCTAGTAATGAGCTACATCATTTGTGGCTGATGAGGATGCGATTTAGCTAGGTGTTTAGGCTTGCATCGTTGGACAGCCAGGTGTTTCTGGCAAATGCGCTTAAGAAAAAAAGTAGTCTCAATGGCAAATAAGCTGTCAATTGTGCAAAAGCTTAGCAGGGGCTATTTGTTATCAATGCCGTGACGACCGAGTACGACAAGTTATGTGCTGTACTCGACACCTACTTTTTCGCTCTGGTCGCATGTGACAATTGCGACGTCGTGATGAGTCAAAAGGTTAGCAGCCGACTGCATGCAGTAATGCCGAATGCGTGAAGTAAAAGCATTTTTCGCTGTTTCGTCGGGGCACAGGCGAAAATGACATTTAGCGTTACCTGTTTAACTTTAAGCAACAGACTATGAATTCTCTCATACCTGTTTCACCGAAATGACCGCCAAATTTACCCTAGAGAACAAGAGCATAACCACGCCGATATGGCGCCACATACTTGGCCTGACCAATAAAGTGACCACCCACTCTGCAGGTCCGTCCTTTGCCTGGAAGGCGAGGTCTCATGACCGCCAATACATCAACTTTGTACCAAAGGGCCGTAAAGCAGGCATCGTCTAACTTACCTTTGCCAAACAAGAAACGAACGTTTCAACATGGATCATACCTCATGTAAGACTGAATGTTTGAATCATGGATTTTTTGGTTCTTATTTGTCTGATAAGTTAACAAATTAACCTGACAAGGTAATAAATACCTTAAATAAATATATCCTATCTTGAACGAAAATAGTGAATGCAAAATGAGGATTTCTTACAAAATAAGAGCAGAAACGGCTTAGATGAAAAATGTCTGGAATATTGCAAAGCAGCAATATCAGAACCTTCAAGAATTTTAGGGCTATCAAATGCTAAATTTCGTCGGTTGCAAGGTATGGGCGCAAAGTTGGACCATATGGGAGGCAGAAAGTAAATCCATTGAAATGCTAGAGATTAAAGCCTTTTGTAAGGGCCTAAAAACGAAAGACTGGATCGAAGCCAAATAACACTCAGCGGCCATTGATGAAAAACTTTAAAGCAAAAACAGAGCAGCTTGATCACGCTGTAATAAGGAATAACCACTGCTTTGTTTGTTTTTTAAATGGCGCTACCACGTCTGAAACCAGCAACAAAACCGATGGAAAGAATAAGAAGACATCGTCGTCGAAACTTAACATCATCAACGCCACAAGAATCGCACAACACCGAAAGATATGGTTTAAATGATAATCATGCCATCTGCTACATAAACAGGGAATTACTGTTAATGTTGAAAATTTACTGCTTTCACTGAACTGTCAAAGAACAACGCTTAATAAGAGTAATCGATCGATCATACGTTTCAGACAAATCAGATTTTACCCGTGAACATCAAAAGCTTGAAATAATCACCTGAATCATCCTGAAGCCTGATCACGAAATATCGACTAGAATCGAGTACCGCTTCGATTGCAGGTCCAGGGTATTTTTCAACCGGACATTTGGCAAACAGCTGACCTAAAACAGTTTTGAAAACGATTAAGAAAACGAAAGCTATGCTACCTGTAGTTTTGTCCTCTAGTCTCAGCTCCAAGCGGCGACCGAGAACCAGCCGCAAGCGACCAACCCAGTCAGGGTTGTCGAGTTTCCATTCGGCAGCCCTGAGAACATAAACGAACAGATCAGTAAAAACGTTCTGGAATAAAAAAAATTAACATGATCTTTCAGGATTTAAAAATGACACATACATAGAAAGAAATCTATTTTGTCTTGAAATACGAAATTAAAGGCCTGGTGCCGAACAGTGCATGTCGAGAATTTAAACTTAGTTTATGGGTATGAACCTCTGCCTTTAACAATTCTAACAAAGGTACATAGTCTCGAATGTGGAGAGCAAGACTGCACTTGAGAATAAGCTGACGTAATATCCATCCAGTACTGCAAGAACTCAAATACTACTAATGAGGTGAAACCTTAAATGCCCCTTTACCACTTCAGCAAAGGAGGGAAAAAATGATTCATTATGCTGCTGAATTTTGTCTGGCGGTAGTCATGAGCCATTAATACACTCTGGCCTCGTATCCATGTCGCTTAAAGGTTCATATGCAAGAACAGAGATCGTGAGCCATCAAGTTAAATGTGGATTATAGGCAGGACAGACGAATCGAGTTTTGTCGCACCACTGTTTAGAGAAGTAATATAACAATTCCACTGATACTCATTGGGTCTTGCATCGTCAGGCCATCGTGAATATGTTTTTATTTCAAATTCACATTTGCACATTGCGTTAATTTTTAGGCAGCCGTCAAGTGGGTCAAGACGAACTGCAGCCATCAGGAAACTCGCATCGGACAGCATGGCCGTGCATCAAAAGCTCTTGTATGATGTTGCATCTATTTTTCGTGTAACTACCACATTCTGCCCGGTTTTCCGCTCGCGGTACCGAAGCATACTGGGGAATTTTATGTGCAAATCAATTTACAGTTAATAAAAAAAGTTTATACCACGCGCGAGGCTGGAACCCGACATTGCTGTGTGACAAGTGCAAAGCCTACTACTAGCTCATTGCGCGACTGTCCCCTATTTACCTTTGCTCAAGCTATTTCTCTGCTGAATTAGGAAAAGCTCTGAAGCCAGTAACTGCACGGTCGTAATCTCAATGCCACGGACAGATTGCCACAAAATAGCAACTCTATCGAAAATGAAACAATGGCCATCATTTCAACGTTATGCTTTAGAATTTTACCAACTTGAGTGTTTTCGCTATCCAAAATTTTCAAATAATATTTAATATCCAGTGACACTCTGACAGGCTTAATAAAGTTTAACATACGACGGTATGAAACAAAGACAGAATTAAACAATAAAACTAGTTATGAATACGTCAGACAACAAAAATATACCTGTAACCGCGGGAGCTGCTTAGAGGAGCAATACGATAGACGAAAACTTCATGCTTTACAAGAAGTACTCGTTCGTATTCATCAACCATGAATAAAAGCAACTGCTTAAACAACAAACCAAATTACAGCACGGAAAACGCTTTGATACTGTAACAATGTCACATCTTGCAGAAACGATTTGCAAGTATAATACAGGATATTAGCCTAGAGTTTTCTAATGTTTATGCTCATTCCTGATCCCTTGCTGTTCACCAAAGGATAGACCAACTAGTAAAGAAAAATTTAGTATCCAGCAGTAGCCGTAGTATCTGATAGCGATTAGCTCATTTTCGACTGTTCAACCTTCTATAAGCTTTTTTTTCATCACTGTAGAAGACATTCTTGGTCGCAGGTCTCTTCATGATCAAATAACGAATAGTTCTTTCAAGACCAGATTTCACAACGTATTGCATCACTCTTTTCTTCTTAATTGTCTAGTATCCTACTTAAGCAGGCCATGGTCCACAATATTTGAGCACCCATAGTGCCTGGACTTGGAGGAATCAGTAAAATCTGGTCTTGGACTATCCATTTGTTATGTAGCATATTGGGTCGTACTAACAGCTTACGGTGTTTTTGAGGTATCACATACTGAGTACCAGCTCATAAAATGTCAATCGTGAGGAGTGCGCAGAGCTTTCTTTGGAAGACAAAATGACGTGAGATTCATCTGGCACTGTGTCACCTGCTTAAAGCCCCACTATATAAGCAAGTAGGAGTAAGAAAGCGATGCAATACATTGTTGGATCTGATTTTAGAACAGTCATTCATTTAATATACTAGGGCGTACGAACAGATTATGATGTTTATGTAGTAGCATAAAAGGAGTACCAGCTCCTGAAACATAATTCATGATGAGCAGGTGGTTGCTTTAGCGGACAAAATGATACGAGATGCATCTGACATTACCAGTGCAAAAATACCATTGAGCTGTGGCCCGATTAAATACCCCCTTCCGAATGAAACTAGGAGTCATTCATAATTTGACGTACTCGTGCTACGAACAGTTTGCAATATCTCTTCATTATATTGCGTTAGCTAGATTAAACATTGTTTGCGATGTTTAGATAGGCTATTAGGCAACAGGAAGCAGAATCTAAAAAATGCCGCAAGCAAAACTTCGAGGCGTTAATGAATTCGTCAGTCCGTCGCAGTGGTCTACAGTCAAAGTAATGTTTGCTTCTCATGGAAAATGTTTCCATTACAAGATTGTAAGATCTAGAACATTTACATTTTCACTGTGTTTTAACCTAACAGTCAAGGATTCATGAAACAACTTTCATCGCTACTCACGTGATTCGGAGCATAGGATTCACAGCAGTCTCTATCGCCAGGCACCGGCAACGTACTAGGTTAGCCATGACTCGAATAATTAAAAAAGTTGGTAATTTGACAAATGGGACTCCCACTTTGCAGACGAAAGCTCTGCGATTGAGCCAGTCAATTGTAGGCGCTGTCTTACTAGACTAGAGTTCTATTGACTGATGGCATCAAAGCTGGAATTAGCGCCTCGATACAATCTTGGCGGAAGATGGCGGATAAGAAAAGAGACCATGAGGCGAATTGAGAGAGACCACCAAATGAATTGCAGAAAACCACCTTTTCTGCCAGAGGATTCATAAAAGAAGCCTACTGTTACACATTCAGGATCTTCAAAGCAAGCGTATTCGAAAAAAAATGTTTCAGTGGCAGAATTATAAGTTATAATTCAAATCTACCGTTAAAGAGATCATTAAATGTATATTTTGCAACAAAACTATAACTTATAACTCCGCCATGGCCGGTCCCAAGCCGGGATGAGAAAGGAGGAGGGTTGGAGACCGTGGCAAGTCTCCGTAAAATTCAGCCACCTGCCA